GAGAAGATAGAAAGTTGCGGTTTGCGCTGATATTTTGGAAATGTTGTGCTCTATTTAACTGTGCAAAGAGAAATATAGCCTCCTATTTAATTTTTTTACGCAAAAGTGCAATATCTGTTATGATGTCAAACAGTGCCCTCTAGCTACTACGAAAAAAATTGTGGAAACAAAATTTATACTGGAGATCATTAAGGAAGAAAAGTTCTTTTAAACGAGCCCTAGTTTGTTTAAATCGCTTAACTCAAACCAGAGTTATCCTTATTTTAATAAAAGCATGTTTAACCTTCCCCCACCACTTTATTTTATGAGATAGAGCAAAATACTCTATATCAAAAAAATTACAAATTTCTCAATGATTACAACAATAATATTTAAAATACCTGTTCACCTGTATATTTTTGAGAAAAATCCTGTTTTCTGATTGGCTATTAGAGAAACGCCCCCTAGCGGGCATTTTTTTAACATGAAAATAATTCCAAGCGATTTCTCTTGGTCGATTTACTTATTAGATTTTTTTCCCAAAGTTATACGATAAGTAGTTTCTGAGAAACAGCCGGCATCCATTCTTAGTAGGCCACCCGGTACATTATTATAGACCATACATTATATTTTCATACTGTTTAGAGAAAATAAAAAACATATCCCATATACCTACTTCTTTCATTTTCTATAGTGTATATCAATATTTATGTTTCATTTAAAAAAATGTTTCATTCTTTTAAAAGTACTGATTGATTTACAGCTTCAAAAACGTGCGTTTTATCACTGTCTCATATTTAACCCAGCATGTCTCATTTTTAGGTTTTTGTATGGGTTAAATATGAGACACTTTTTTCTACATACTGACTTTTTAATGGTACTTCTGATAAATTTCTACTTTTGCAATAGTTTTGTTACCACCAAATACACATTATAGAAGAAATACTTTTGTATTTAAATGGTTATTATAACTATAAACTATCATATACAGGGTGAGTTTCCTAGGATGTTCTCTATGGGTATCTCGGAAACTACTGGAGATAGAAAGTCGGTTAAATGGGGAAAGAATTGCAGTTTTGTGGGGTCATAAATATGCGCCTTTCAGATTTTTGAAAAAGTTCATGGCTTACAAGATATTTCGAAAAAAACAAATTTCGGCTATTTTAAAAATTGTCCCTAATCCCATTATAAGCTATTTTAGACAAAAAGTTTTCAGATAAAAGTTGTAGATAATCACATCCTTAATGAGACTGTGCTCTCCGTTTTTTTTTCTAAGGCCTGTCATTTCTGGCATATGGCACAAACATAGGCTTTTTTAAATGGAAACCATAATTGGCCATGACTTCATAAAAAGCGCCATTTTTTAAGCTTTTTAGTGACATAAGCTATAATATCTTTTCTTCGAAAAATAACTGAGTTATAGCCAATTCTTATAATTTTAGACAATTTCACTTAGGTAGCCATGGAAACAAGTTCAATCGCCATTGCTCTCAGAAATGTGAAGCTGTCACATCCAAACTTTGCAAATTAAAATAAACGAAAATTGTAAATATTTATTTTAAAATGAAGAAAAGCGTGTAGATACTCGCGCATCAATAGAGTGGTTCCAACATGACTTTCATTATGACACACCACCCCCACCCCCCATAATGAAATAAATGTTAAAAATTATTTATGTATATCATAATTATACAAACGCAGGGATAGAGAGAGGTGGACTAATTGCATGGGCCTCCTCGATCACCTGACCTATCCATTTTAGATTTTTTTTGCGGTATAGTTAACAATAAGGTTTACAAAGGAACTTGTAAATTAAGAGAGGCACTCGAAGTGGCGGTACGAGAGAAGTTTGATTAAGTCGACCGGTCCTTCTGTGAGAATAGGTAATAATTCAGTTTTAACAATGGCGGATTTTTTGAACACTTTTTAAAGTAACTTAAAGTGTATGTAGTGATATTATTTTTTTAAGTTTTAGTTTGTGTAATATAAATTGTAAAGAACCGTTTAGTAATATATTCTGACTTTTTATAAGTTATAAATCATAACAGAATAAGAATACCATGCAATCTAAGTGAAATTAGCCAAGAAAGATAAGAATTGGCTATAACTAAATTTAACTTTTCTAACATGTCTTGAAAGCCGTTCTCTAAAAAACGTAACATTCACCAGTCAACGTATCCTCGAAAATGTATAGTCAAGAAAAGTTGAACCAATCATCCTACACGCTTTTCTTCATTTGAAAAATTCATATTTACAATTTGTATTTATTTTAATTTGCAAAGTTTGGATGTGTCAGCTTCACATTTATGAGAGCACAGACGATTAAACTTGTTTCCATGGCTAACTAAGTGAAATTGTTTAAAAATGAGAAGAATTGGCTATAACTCAGTAATTTTTCGAAGAAAACATATTATAGCTTATATCGCTGAAAAGCTTAAAAAATGGCGCTTTTTATGAAGCCATGGCCCACTATGGTTTCCATTTAAAAAAAGCTATGTTTGTGTCATATGTCAAAAATGACAGGCTTTAGAAAAAATCGGAGGATACAGTCTCATTAAGAATATGATTATCTACAACTTTTATCTGAAAACTTTTTGTCTAAAATAGCTTATAATGGAATTAGGGACAATTTTTAAAATAGCCGAAATTTGTTTTTTTCAAAATATCTTGTAAGCCATGAACTTTTTCAAAAATCTGAAAGGCGCATATTTATGACCCCACAAAACTGCAATTCTTTCCCCATTTAACCGACTCTCTATCTCCAGTAGTTTCCGAGATACCCATAGAGAACATCGTAGGAAACTCACCCTGTATAACTATGAAAAAAAAATAAAAGTTTTGAAAATGTCTCATTTTTACGCCCTATGATCCAAATGTTACATCTACAAAATTCAACTTTCATATATAACTTTAAAGGCCTAAATAATTACAAACACTCCAAACATATCACTCCGTTACAAATTGGCGTTCACCGTGTACAGGGTAGGTCAAATTCAACGCTTTTAAAGGGAAACATCCTTTTCTATAGGAGATAGACGAAAACTACTATCGGTGTCAGTAGGGGTAGAAGGCCGATTCACCATCAGGAGCAGGAGCAGAGCGCACTGCGCATGCGCGTAAATCAGCTAGGAACATATAAAATACGCTAATAAACAAGAATAAACAGGTTTGGTTTGGTTTGAACAGCTTTAAAACAGAAATAAACAGGTATGAACAAAAAATGAACAGGTCTGTTGTTTTAAGCTAAAAAGCGGTTCAAAGCTGATCAAAAGCTGTTCAAACCAAACCAAACCTGTTTATTCTTCTTTATTAGCGTATTTTACATGTTCCTAGCTGATTTACGCGCATGCGCAGTGCGCTCTGCTCCTGCTCCTGATGGTGAATCGGCCTTCTACCCCTACTGGTGTCTGGAGCTCAATTTTTATCATAAACATGATGGTGAAAGCCGCAAATCGATATCTGTTACCGTTTCGGAGTCACGGGGTGTTTTTCAAAAATGTGCATTTATAACAAATCGCTGTAACTTTTTTGCTATGGAAAATTTTGTGTTTTTATGGAAACGTTTGCAAACACTTTTTTACGTAGAATTTAATGGTTTAAGTATGATTTTTATAAAATTGATAATTTAAGAGTTATTAACAAAAAAAATTATATTTTATTTGGGACACCCTGTATATTTTTAATTAATTGAAAATAATTTAAAATTGACTTTCCAAAAATATACCATACTTGATATTTTGCTCGATTCCTCTTCGAATAAGTAGGCTTTGAACGGCGTCGGCTGTAATGCAAAAAAAATCTAGCACAATTAAAACGAAAATAATATTTGCAATGAGAGATGCAGAATTTTATAACAATTTAAACTATAATTAACAACATCAACACAAAATTAAACTATAGGTGTTCGATATATCTTCTGTTATGGACAGACGGGACCGTTTTTGAACATTTCTCGCGGAATTTATTAACTCAGTAGGGTGAAAGATACCCTCGTATAACCGCTAAGTAAATCTAATTCTTGTCTAGAATTATACAGACAATTTAAAACTAAGAACCTTTACTGTTCCGCAAAGATAAAAATCCATAGGCACTAAGTCTGGCGGCCCCGGCGGCCAACGGTTGGGATCTTGGTTGGCTATTCAATTATTATCGAAATTGGCTGCAAAAATTTGCTGAAAACTTCAGCGTTCTGAGCCGGTGCCTCGTCTTTCTGGAAAAATATGTTTTCGAGTTCCATTAGGGGCAGATCATCAATAAGGGGTCCAAAGCCTACTAGCAAAGCTACTAGTTAAAAGTGGGGAACTTATAAAATTCTGTATTTCGAAAAGGACTATAACAAAATATCAAGTATTCTATATTTTTGGAAAGGTAATTTTAAGTTATTTTCAGTTAATTAAAAATATACAGGGTGTCCCCAATAAAAAATCATTTTTTTCTGTTGATAACTCTTAAATTATTAATTTAAAAAAAATTACACATAAACCATTAAATTCTACGTAAAAGGGAGCTTTGGAAATGTTTTCATAAAAATACAAAATTTTCCATAGCAAAAAAGTTACAGCGATTAATTTGTTAAAAATGGACATTTTTTAAAAACACCCCGTAACTCATAAACGGTAACAGATATCAATGTGCGGTTTTCATCATCAGGATTTTGGTAAAAATTGAGCTCCAGATACCGATATTAGGTTTCGTCCATCTCCCATAGAAAAGGGTGTTTCCCTTTAAAAGCGTCCAATTTTGGCCCACCCTGTACAGAGTACGTTATATGTTATGGGAAGCGCCACCCTGTATAATAAAATACTTTACATCATATTATTTCTTAGCATAGATTTAACCGAAATCTGAAAATCCATGAACATAACCACCATAACCAGAGTATTTTGTTATCTAGACCCGCATAAAAAATCCCGTTCTCTTTATTACACTCCGCTACTCCGCCTACAAGGACTTCTGCTTGCTTTTATTAATGTTAATTTATCAGCGAGAAATAAATACTCTCGGCATACTAATCAGATTCATTGGTTTGGTTCCGCCTCGACACCCTAGCATTAATCAAATTGCGAAAACACTTAGTTATTATTAGCGACAATAGTGAATAAGTCATAGAAATGATTCAACAATCGAGTTAGAGTTATTATTAGCAATTACTGGTATTATTATAAGCAGCAAAAATGACCCAAGAACCAAGTGAAATCGATAAACTGTATTATCCTCATTGGTGGCAGAAAAGATATGCACCTGAAGAAGCGTTAGAAAAGTTTATTAATTATTTAAATACAGGTATGAGCTACTCTATTATTCTATATTTGTTATGCATAAGTTTACAGGGTGACTCAGCGCTCTTAATGAACTCAGATCAGGGTTCCTGTTTATTATTTTTATTTCAATATTTTTTACAAGATTTGGGGGCAATGATAAATTTTAAAAACACAGTATGTCCCCGGATTGTCTTTACAAGAGGAAAAATCTTTTTTATTATTGACGTTTTGAGAAAAATGCATTCTTCATAAAAATTTTACTTGTTCTAAAACGGTTAATCCCGTTTATACCTTTCCAAATTTCCATACCGTTTTAGTGAAAATTAAAAAAAAACATGAAAATACGGTTGAATTTTTCAAGTCCTAAAAATCAAAAGGATTAATGGATGGTGTTATTATTAATTAGTTATTCTCTTTCTCGTTAACGTCATATTTTCTGTTGTCATTTTTGCTGTTGTTAAAGTACCACATTTTAAAAAGTATAATATACACATAGTCGATTTTCCGAAATCAAATGTCGATTAGTGTTCACTAAAACTAGTTTTAGTTTAGTTTCTTCAATTTTGTCATGAAACGGCGGCGCGGCGTATCATTAATTCGCTCATTAATTTATCAATAATTAATTGTCGTGCTGGATAGCATTCATTGCGAACTTACCACCAGGTTCAGCATTGGTCTGGTTGTACCAAAGATGCCGAAGAATGGGGTTGGAAGAAAACAAAAACAGGCATTACTCCAGTCACAACGTTGAAAGATCCAGCTCCAAAATCCCTATTGGCATTTTTATCCTGTAATTGCAAAACCAACAACTATCGTAAAGCCTGCGGATGCAGAAACGCAGGATTAAAATGTTCAATGATTTGTGCATACTGCAACGGGAAATCCTGTGACAACGTCACTGAAGTATCACTCGACGAATCCGATGAAGAGGAGTTGGACTTGCCTGTAAATATCCCTCTGGCGGCTGAAGATGAAGAGTTGGACGTATTGAGAGACCACCCTGATGAACCCAGCACAGCAGACACGATCGACTTTGACATCAATGAGGCAGATCCGTCGGGCTTGTGCAGATAAGTTAAAGTTTTTAATTTATCTAGTGGAGTAGGCCTCAGTTAAATGAAAGAATTAACGTATAAAAACTTTAAAATAAACGCGCCATGTACTTTACTTCTTGGGTGGTGTGGAAACAAGTACACATTTACAATAATTAAAATTAATTATTCATAAATTAATGATACGACACTGTTTTATGACAAAACTGATGAAACTAAACTGAAACTAGTTTTAGTGAACCCTAATCGACATTTGATTTCGGAAAATCGACTATACATAATATTATATCATATTTTACGCAAAATTGTAAAATTTCCAGGGATTTTGTGCCTAAACGGTTGACTAGCGAAAATGTTTATAAAACCTTTTTTATAGGAATAAGAATAAATATTGTGCTTATTTAATATTTAACCCAGAAAACATAGAGCGTTAATTAAAATTCTATTAATAACAATCTATCAAAAAATTATAACGAAATTAAATTACCATAGAAACGCGTTTTGATTTTTAGAACTCTGCTTTAGAACAAGCAAATTTTTTTATGAACAATGCATTTTCCTCCAAATGTCAATAATAAAAGATGTTTTTCCTCCTGTAAAGACAATCCGGGGACGTACTGTATATAATTTAAAAATGGATAAAACTTGCCCTACGTTCTTCACCCCCGTCTAATAAAATTCTTCTTAGGGCTCGAACTCATTGACGACCAGGTCGCAACGACCTTGCCGTCTGCTGGCCGGATGTATTGCGTTTTTAGCTGCGGCCAGATGAACGACCAGTTTCAACAGAGTTGTGAAATCTAATAATTTTTGACGTTTTACCAATTAGAAAATATTGTTTCAGAAATGTTAAAATATCCGAGTTAACTAAACAGCGAAGTTGCTATTCACAACAAACAAAAAGCATTGTGTACGCGCGACCGACAAAAAGGGAGATATTCTGTTTCTTTTTTCTACTGATATGGCGCCCGTATCGACTTTAGAAGAAAACATATTATATAATGTACCTAGTAGAAATGTAGTCTAATGAACCCTGTTTGAAAAACGTTAAATTAAATATCATATTTAAAATACAATTGTCCTCCTTGTACATGACTACAATACAACTAAAAAAACTAATTTAATAAAAAAAACAAGTGGTTGTAGAAAAACTTTAATATTATTTTTTTTATTTTTTAACATCGAAACCCGAAGGTATAACAACAGGTATCATACCAACCAAGGATATATAGAATAAGGATATTCGACTGGCCCAAAAAAACGTGCCGTATTTAGTCGAGGAAGTCGATTTCGTCACGACCAATGGGCGTCGAGTATTTGAAATTGAAAACATATAAATTGACGGTAACCTATGTTTTTTGACTCATTTCACTGACAGATGTGATGCGATTATTATTGTATTTTATAGATCCAAACGTTTTTTGAATAAATAATTTATTTTAAAGTTATTTCCTATAGGTTTGGTTTGACCTTCTATATTCTGGTATTTGTCTACTAATAAATAATATCTTATTTTGTATTTCGATGTATGGAAATCCGCAAGTTTTGTATCTGAATCCACAAAGAAATTTCGCTCTATAGTGAGAAAAATGTTATATCTTTTTAGACGCGTAGAATAACAAAATTTCTTATTTCAGATGTTCTAAATGTGAGTGCTTAATGTCAAAAATTAAAATATATACTTGAAATATTGGTTGAAATATTTCAAGTTATACCCTTTGCCCTTTGGAAGTAAACAAATATTGAAGAAAGCGTTGTGCCTTCACAGAATTTAAATTGGCATTAGGAATAGATTTCCTTAATTTAGTAATGATATTGCTCATAGAAATTGATAATATACTATTTTATATTCACTCGTTCAAGTGCTGATCTATTTTTAAATTGAATATTTATGTAAGTATTTTGTATAACATGATATAAATAATTTAAGGACATAAGAAATTAAAATTTCAAGTGCCAATATTGATTATTTTTCCAGTTTTATTCAAATATATTGAAATTAATATGGAAACAAAAGTTCATAAATATTATTCTTAATAACAAGAATTGAGATTTGGGGATAAGTTTGAAAAGCCATGTCAGAAGAGTAGGATTAAAGACAAAGTATTAAGGTAACATATATTTGCATAAAGTTTTAATAACACTGACCATTTTATTTGTTTATGTTTATTAATTAAAATTTAGTTGCAATTTATTTCATATTCTAATATTTTTGAGAAAATTTTACTTATATACATACCTGAATATTATGCTGCTTTTTTATTTTAAAGTGTGCCGACTGTGCTGTTATTTTTATACTAGTAATATTGTATACTGTAGGTATCGTATTCATATATAGTTATATATATCAGTAGTATAGATACTTACTTTCTTTCTATGCGTACTTATATCCTTTATAGTCTTTCTAAGTGCATATAATACTACTTTTTTAAGAGAAGGCAGTTTTTAATAATCTATTGTTAATTCCCCTAATTCTGTGTCCCCTGGTTCTGCTATACAACAATTATATATTTTTTTATCATTACTGATTTTAAAAGTTTCTTTTCAAAGAATTTGACCATATATTTTTTTTTCAGAGTAATTGGGCTGTTCCTGAACAATATTGAATATAAATATTCAAAAATATGATAAACTGCATATCCTACTAAGTAGATCAATACCAAAATTCCATTAGAGAAATAAGTTAAAATTATGTTTTACTTGTATAATTTTCTTGCTATTTGTCCACCATTATTTGTGACTTAGAAATTAAATAGTCAAAAAGAATTTAGTACCAGTTTTTATTTCCCAAAAAAATTAATTGTTAAATAATTACATATTGCTTAAGGTACAGTATATTATATTGTGTTTATAGTTGATAATTCTAGTTCTTAGTTGTTTATAGTTGATAATTAACAATATTTCTGATGTTAGATATTATATTAGATAAAAAATTTAATTACCAATAGCTACCTACCTATGTAGCTGCAGATTATACCGTATGATCGAGAAAAAACGGCGTCCAGTTGGCTGGGAAATGAAGATCGCTGTCATTTTATATGTAAATTTATATGGGAAATGTCATCGATCGTCATTTCCCAGCCAACTGGACGCCGTTTTTTTCGATCATACGGTATATTGTGTAGTAGGTACTGTATAATTCTTTAGTTCAAGAAACAAATATCAGTACAAGTATATAACCAAAAAAATGTTGATGCAAATTCTTTGTATAGCATACGTACCCCTATGGTATTCAACTTTTCATTGTTCTTTTAATTAGATACACAATAAGCACATTAATTCGTTTATTAAACAACCAAAACTAACTACTTAAATTCACAATATAAATATCACAATAAATGTATAAGCTTTGATCAATTCCTATTATTAATACCTGACGACTTCATACTTTATAACTACTAATGGCTATCCTACTAACACACTAGCCAACTAATAATAAATCTGTTCTAAAAAAATACAACATAAAGACATCGTTATTGCAATAATATAGAAATATATTCCATATATCATTAACTACCTATAAATACAATACCCACATCTTCTTTTACGCGAATAGTGCATTAAGAGGCAGAAATATTGCCTGCATTGTACATCGTACAAATTGGCTAGAATTTATTAATATCCATTGCAAACATTTCTCTTTCAAAGGGTCTAAATGTTTTGTCTTTTTACTGTGTCCCTGTATATGTTATCAATTAACAACAGTTATCAAATATGACCTGGACAATAATAATTGTTTTACCTTTTTTTCAAACTAAACTCTTTAAACAAACTATATAAATAAAATTTATCTCATAACCTAACTTGCTGCTAGAATTTCTTTCTTGTTATTCTATGTTCCTGTATTGTTATTCTTCACATTATCAATTTCAAAGGAAATCTATTCCTAATGCCAATTTAAATACTGTGAAGGCACAACACTTTCTTCAATATTTGTTTACTTCCAAAAAATGTCAAAGCATATAACTTGAAATAATATTTTAAGTATATATTTAAATTTTTGACATGCACTCACATTTAGAACATCTGAAATAAGAAATTTTGTAATTCGACACGTCTAAAAAGATATAATAACATTTTTCTAACTATAGAGCGAAATTTCTTTGCGGCTTCAGATACAAAACTTGCGGATTTCCATACATCGAAATACAAAATAAGATATTATTTATTAGTAGACAAATACCAGAATATAGAAGGCCAAACCAAACTCTAGGAAATAACTTTAAAATACATTATTTTTTCAAAAAACGTTTGGATCTATATTACAATAATAATCTCATCACATCTGTCAGTGAAATGAGTCAAAAGTCAAAAAAACATAGGTTACCGTCAATTTATATGTTTTCAATTTCAAATACTCGACGCTCATTGGTCGTGACGAAATCGTCTTCCTCGACAAAATACGGCATATTTTCCAACATAGCCCGCTATAGGGAGTTGAATATCCTTCTTCTATATATCCTTGATACCAACCATAAATAGAGTAGGTATGTCATATAAAAATGTTTTGAGTTTTTACTAGAATCGACCCTTGATATAAAAAAGGGATTAGATTTAAGTTTACCTTTGATCCAGTCTGTATACTATTTCTTTGGATTTTCTGCACGTGTGCAAAAACTACACTAAAACACTATATCTTATAGAAAATAAAATATTGTGCCTTGAATTTGAGGGATTTCATCTGAAAAATTATCAAATTCGGAAGAAAACCGGCAACAAGCGGCAGAAAATAATATTTCTGTGCAGTCTTCTGGTCGCAACGACCAACGGTTGGCCAGGACGTTAGTGTGCGCTATATCATTAGCTGCGGCCTGGCCGGTGCGACCTGGTCGTCAGTGTGTTCGAGCCCTTAATGTTAGAATATTTAAATGACTTAAAATTATACTTCTTCAAATTCGCCAAGCACAATGTTTTTCGACCATTTCTCCAAGTGTTCTTATTTAGTTTTCATATTCCACTTGCTACAAATTTAATTCATTACAAATTATATTTTGCACGTATCAAATCAATATGACATTACAAAACTTTCTTTTAAATTTGGCAACAATAAAGTCAATTTGACATTAAATTTGAGGGCTGCATGTTGTTCTAATCAGGACCGTATTATTTTTTTGATTAATTTAGTATTTTTGATATCTCTCATAACTCAAGAACGAATTCGTATTAACCATTGAAAATGAACAATTTGCTTTGTTTCAAGTTCAAATATTTTTTTCTGTAAAATAAAATGGGGAAAACTTATTCATCATTTTTAAAATTTACATGGGATTTCCTATGTCCAGGTCGTCGATGCAACAAACTGTATATTTAATTCGGATAACAAATAATGACTTAATAACATTAATACCTTTCCATATTTTAGAATTATGAATGATTATTATTTAATAAATGCCGGATGCGCCAGGAAATAGAAAATATTCGGAGATTGTCAGCGATTGTCATTTCCAAGCCAAATGGACGCCGTTTTTTTTCAATCGTACAACCCTTATCTTATTATCCATAATCAAGGGTACAACCATACGGTATTTATAGTTATTGCAGAAAAATACACCTACGATTCTAGGATTGTACAGGGTGGCGCCTCTCAAACGCCGCGGTAGCTCTAAGGAGAACGGTAGTTTATATCGAAATTAAATTTTGGCAGCAGAATTATACAGGGTGTCCCCAAAAAAAGTTACACATCAAAATTGTGTGTTTTTTTTTAATGAAACACCCTATATGTACAGGGTAGGTCAAATTCGACGCTTTTAAATGGAAACACCCTTTTCTATAGGAGATAGATAAAAAATAATATCGGTGTCTGGAGCTCAATTTTTGTCAAAAACATGATGGTGAAAACCGCATATCGATATCTGTTACCGTTTCGGAGCTACGGGGTGTTTTTCAAAAATATGCATTTTTAACAAATCGCTGTAACTTTTTTGCTATGGAAAATTTTGTATTTTTATGAAAACATTTCCAAAGCACCTTTTTACGTAGAATTTAATGGTTTAAGTATAATTTTTTTAAAATTAATAATTTAAGATTTATCAACAGAAAATTTGATTTTTTATATAGGACACCCTGTATATTTTTAATCTATTGAAAAGAATTTAAAATTACCTTTCCAAAAATATAACACACTTGATATTTTGCTCTATTTCTCTTCGAGATATAGAGTATATAAAAATTCGCCCGCTTTAAATAAGTAGGCTTTGAACGGCACCAGCTGTAATGCAAAAAAATTCTAGCTGTGAGCATCAATTAAAAACGAAAATAATATTTGCTATGAGAGATGCAGAATTTTATAACAATTTAAAATATATTTAACCAATATCAACACATTTAAACTATATCTAATAACAATAAAAATAAATAGCAAACCCAGACATGAGATAGACATGAGATTTTGCTACAGGTGCTCGACATATCGACCGTCTTCTGTTATGGACATACGGGGCAGTTTTTGAACATTTCTCGCGGAATTCATTAACTCAGTGGGGGTGAAAGAATGAGTGAAGTGGGGGTGAATACCCCCTCATAACTGCGAAGTATTTCTAATTCTTGTCTAGATTATAAGGAAGAATAAGGAACCTTTTTGCAAATATATCCATAGGATTAGATCCATGAGCACTAAGTCAGGCGGCCGCGACCGCCAACGGCTGGGATCTTGGTTAGCTATTCAATTATTTTTGAAATTGGCTGCAAAAATTTCAGAGGCACCGCCTCTGAAATTGCTGATAACTTCAGCGTCCAGAGGCGGTACGTCGTCTTGCTGAAAAAATATGTTTTCGAGTTCCATTAAGGGCATATCATCAATAAGGCGTCCAAAGCCTACTAATTAAAAGTGGCAAACTTTTAAAAATTCTGTATTTCGAAGGGGATTATAACAAAATATCAAGTGTGCTATATTTTTGGAAAGGTAATTTTAAATTATTTTCAATAGATTAAAAATATACAAGGTGTCCTATATAAAAAATCAAATTTTCTGTTGATAACTCTTAAATTATTAATTTTAAAAAAAATATACTTAAACCATTAAATTCTACGGAAAAAGGTGCTTTGGAAATGTTTTTATAGAAATAAAAAAAAATTCAAAGCAAAAAAGTTACAGCGATTTGTTAAAAATGCACATTTTTGAAAAACACCCCGTAACTTCGAAACGGTAACAAATATTGATGTGCGGTTTTCACCATCATATTTTTAGATGAAAATTGAGCTCCAGACACCGATATTAGTTTTCGTCTCTCTCCTATAGGAAAGGATGTTTCCATTTAAAAGCGTCGAATTTGACCCACCCTGTACATATATTAATTGTTTTTTGGATTCTAGGAAAAAAGTTTTTTAAACTAGATTTTATCAAATAATAAAGATCTACCCAGATCAAATTAATAATGTAAATGAAAATATCTAGGAAAATCTTTGTTTGAGGGGTAGGCAACCTTAATAGTATTTTGAAGAGACATGAATTCTCCATTGAATATCGAAATAATATACTGGGTGTTCCATTTATAATAAAAGAGTAACATGCTTTTAAAGGTGACCAATGTTCAATATTAATTTTGTCTCACCCTGTATAACTTTTTGTATCAAGTTTTAATTTGATTTAAAGTATAATAGTTAATTTATCTAAATATTAGGCTATACCGGGTAAATTCCAATTTAGGTAGCTTTTATTGTAACTTAGAAATTGTTCTTTATTTTTTAAATGTTAAATAATTATGTCAAAAATCCTTACATTTTAGTCATATACTTCTCTTATAAAACTCACCTTTATTTTTCGTCCAGAATCCGAAAATCAGTTAATATATAAGGTGTTCCATTACAAAAAACACAACTTTCATATGTAACCTTTTTTGGGGACACCCTGTAGAACTCTCTATATTTTTAAAAAGTGCTCTGAGTTAACATATGCTAACAAAATTTAATTTTAATATAAACTGTCGTTCTCCGTGGAGCCTCCGAGGCGTGTGAGAGGTGGCGCCTCCTATATTAAATTAATTTTAACTATATTAAATTAATTTTTAGCTAACATTTAAAAATTTTTTTTTTTTTGGAAAATAGTTACATTCGATCACTTACACTTAGTTCGATTTATTTTATTTTAATAGAAAACTTAGACTACTTGACTGAAGAGAAAATATAATACTTGAAGAAACATAAAATTAAATTTACATTTCTGCATTTATTAAAAATAATTTTAAAAGTAAGCGTAGGTGTAAATCCAGTGGCACAAGAAAAAAGCTTAATATTCTTTGTATCAGGTGGCCAACTAAAAATGGAAGGCGGCTATCTCAGGAACCACTTATCGCACAACTTTGGGAAAAAATCTAATAAGTAAATCGGCCAAGAGAAAAAAAGTCGTTGTGGAGAGAAAAAAAGTCGTTGTGGAGAAAAGAGAGTTTCCTGTTGAAAATCCCGTAACAACTTACTTAATCAAGGAAAATCTTTGATTTTCCCAGTCGTAAGTTCTGAGAAATTTCTTCGAGTATCTTAGACCGTTGGATGATTCCCATTCCAGGTTATGGATGGAGTCTCCCAGGTTCTTGAGTTCCGCTTTCATTGGGAAATCAGAACGGTTCTGTTTCAGTTAGTGAAGTGTTCGCTCAGTATATAGCTAGATCGTTTACTTTTGCATTGCCTTATAGAGCCTTAGAGTAGGAGGACTTTATTTGCTTTGTCTAATTTGTTCATATCCTCTAGGCATTCTTTGACCAACTTCCAATTGATGGTTACTGATTTGATCGCTTTTAGTGCTATCGAATTAGATGGCTATTCCCTGTTTCCGATATTTCCTATGTAGAATAAATTGTACGGATCTTTCGATAGCGTACAATATATCTGCCTGAAGGATACTGGGGTAGGTGCCCATTGGTTCGGAGTATTTACATTTCGGCCCAAATAATCCTATCCCTCTCCAAGTCTATCCTTATCCTATTCGATGATATAAAGTGGTAACGTCAAAATATCACCATGCACTCAATAATTATAAGTAGTTACTTCAAAAAAGTCCTATGGCCGCAAAACATTGCCGCGTTAATCCAACGGAAACTAAAGGTTGTCGCCCACTAGACCGCGGCGCGGCGCGGCACTGGGAAGAGAATTTTTTCCGGCTACGAAGGGACTGCGCCCACTATAGCGCGCTTTTGAAACGCGGAAACGCTATTTAGTTATAGTCGAAGTGTTTTTTACTTACTGTAGTTTAGTTTTTAAAGCAATTAGTTCAAGTACGGACGAAAGCGTATATCTTTTTCCAAATTTAAAAAAGACACGAGCATTTTTTTCAGTATTACAAAATATAAAGGATACATTTTACGCACTCCTCAATTGAGGGTTTTAGAAGCAAAACACCGGGTATCTCTACTCATCATATTTTTTCAGAAGAGACAAATTACTAATACTTTTGATAATTCTTATATATTCTGATGTGTATATTAGTTATGTGGTGAAAAGCCCCTGATCTTTTTTATATATTTAGGTAATTAGAATTTAAAAATTGGAGATTGCTGGTTTTGCCTCTACACCCCTCTATTATATTAAATCTTTGATAGAAAGGCATTTCGTCCATCTGTCTCTAGTGAGGGAAGACTAAAAAAAATATCATATTCCTTTATAAAAATTGATTTGCCTAATTTACCTTTAAAAATACAATTCTACCATTGATACGTATCACTAGTTCCTAGTCAAAAAGCCAACTGAAAAGACTCGAATGCAAAATTATTTCCGTTGTGAGTACGCACACTGCAACGCGCCGAAACGCGGGAGACGGAAAAAAGTTGCTAGAGAAATCTTCCGACTTCTTGACGGAAATCCCGCGGCGCGCTTCGGTGCTGCGCGCTCTAATGTGCGTTGGTCCATTTAAATACATGGCAAGCAGACAAAAGAAATTTCCACATGGCGCCGCGCCGCGTCGCGCCGCTGTCTAGTGGGCGACAAACTTAATACTGCCGTCGGAAGTTAAAAGGCGGCAAGTGACAAAACCATGGTTTTGAGAAAAATGGCAAAAACTTTGTGATGTTGTCCTTCACTAATAAGAATATATACATTCGATTTTATTATTCAAAACTAATTGGATATACTATATTTAGTTATTTATAGGTATTTTTAGACAATAGAGCTAGTTTTGTTTAAAAAAATGTTGGTTAATTCTTTCTTGCTTCGTTTTCTGTATTGAATACAGTAAGAAGTTGAAGTTAAAAGGCGGTAAGCGACAAAAAACTGTTCAAATGCCGCCTTTTAACTGCAAAACTAACTGACGATGCCGCTATTTAGAATCAAGTAAAATATGTTAAGGTTTTAACTTAAAAAAGATAAGTTTTAGGTAACATCTATTTATTAAACACAGTTTATTTTTTAAATTAATAGTCATCTTGCAAATTTTAAGCAGTTTTATGATAACAGTTATATAGTAAAAGGAATAATTTTAGAAATAACAGGGTGGTCCATAATGGATTGTTCTGTATATATTCTCATGCATTTTTTGTTTGCCTGCGGTCATTTTATAAACTAGAGAGTTTTTTGTGTTGTTTTACTTAGAGATATAACAAAAATTGTTAATGCCACCTCAAAAATCTTTGCATCCGGCGCTAGTATGGTGTCTGATTTTTTTGTTTTAAGCATGAGGATACGCCGTTGCCCCCTCTTCTAAAACCCAAAAACAATTTTACACTTCTGATCGATATACTATATAGTATCCAAATTAAAAAAATAATAGCAATGTTTTCATTTTTATAATATATATATTTTCCTGGCTCTAAATTATGCTTAAAATAAAAAAAAATTGAATGGATGAGTGAAAAATCTTTTCTTCAATAAATACAATAAATAATTTATTTATTGCCAATTAATTCGAAATATGAATATGAAACAATTAAACATTAAGATAACTTATAAATATATTTGTAAATATACTGATGTACCATTTAAAAGAAAAACTTATGGAGGCACTATAATAGTACTTATTTAATTAATGATACTTAATTTAATTAATAATACTTAATTATTGATAAATTTTACTAATTCTAACTATTGTATATATAACTATATATATTTTTTTTAATTTCAGGGGTGAAATTTATATTTTGTTAACACATGACACCAGGGCCGTATCTGGGGGGGTGTTTTGGGGGTTCAAACCCCCCCCGAAATTATGGCCGAAAATTTTTAAAAAGTAAGTGATCATTAAGTAAGTAAGTAAGAACGAAACAAAAAAGAAGAAGAAGAAGATGGATGAATATCAATGACTAAAGAATACAAGGACATGTAACGCCCATACAGGCCATCAACGACAATTTTAGCGATTTTAATAGTTGGTTGTGTGTAGTGAACTTTGTATAAACTTTATTACAATGGTAATTTGTTCAGCTTTCAAGTGTAAAAGGCGCAATGATAAGAAAGAGCCAGAAGTTACGTTATATAGGGAAATTAACAGTCCCCTACACCTTTTTAGCGTTTTTTATTGAATTCGATAATTATTTTTCTGATATTATATGTACTTGATATGTACTATACGTCGATACTAGTTATGTACCTTTTGTTAACATTTTAATACGTTTTTTCGTAATTAATCAGTATGATACCACCCGATACACCATAGGCGTAGTGAAAACATATAATATCAAAATATAAATATCCTTCAAGCGGCAATGTTAAGTAAAATATGTGCCACGGCACTGTTTGGAAGGATGGTCACAGTTTCGTCTCGGGTGCTATTTGTCCTTGTATTCTTTAGTCATTGATAAATATACATTATACACCTAACCTCACTTTTCCACTTTGAAAGCAAATGTCATTTTCGATTTTCGACTTTCAACATTCAAGTGTTTAAAACAGCAAAAGTTTGACAAGGACAAAGCTTTTGAATGTTGTGTGTTTTGCTGGTCATTAACGTGATTAACGTTTGTTATTGTTCTGCTATTAGACAAAGAATTCTTGGACTATGACACTTTAGCGGCAGAACTAGACTTGTGGCGGCAAAAATGGAAGCAGCTACCTGCAGTCGACCGACCTAAAATGCCATCGAAACGATAATCGGAGTGTAACCAGTGTATATTTCAAATATATACATTTTATTAATGATCCTAGCAACTCTACAAGTGTCAACAGCTACACCAGAAAGGTCTTTTTTCAACTCTAATGCTGCAATTATGCGGTATTCGGCGATCTCCGATCGGGCTTCGCCGATTTCCTATGTGTGTGGATGAGGAAGTCGGAGTTCGGCGACCCAATCGGCGACGAGAACGAGCGCTCGTCTCTATGTTGTTGCTATCAGAGCCCGCATGTGCGGATGGAAAGGCGAAGTCCGATCACGAGCGTTCGGTAGTTGACGAGCGTTCGGTAGTTGACGAGCGCTCGGAGTTCGCTAAATGCCGCATGTGCGGTTGCGGCATAAGACGATTGAAGGACTCCCTACGTAACTCTACAGGTCAGGAGCGATTGACAGGACTTGCTCTATTAAACGTACATAGAGAAATAATATCGATATCGAAGAGGTAGTCAATCGTTTTCCAGGGGAAAAGACCCAGTTTATCCTTTAAGATTAATAATTTTTACCTGTTACTTTTTTTTTTTTTAAAATTTTATTTTCAATTAAGATTTGAGTGTAGCCCAAAGCGATTTTTTATTATGCTTTTTTCCTAACAGCTTTTGTACCCCCCTCCCCTCAAGCCAAACCCCCGAAATTTTGGTCTAGATACGGCCCTGCATGACACCAAAATTAGCTACAAATCCATCATATAAATATGTATTGAATAATAAGTAATATATAATAATCTAATATACCTATAAAAATAGTTTAAAAGCTTACCTTTGCACAAAAGCCAATCACTATTATTACAATAAATTATTATTAATCTATACTAATATATAAAATCCTTAAGTGACTGACATACTGATTAATCACGATCCTGCTCAAACCACTCAACGTAAGAAGCTCAATTTTGGCATACAGGTTGATTCTAGGGTGTAGAGGTTCGATAAGAAGGAATTTTTCGAAATTCGAGTTCCAAGGGGTTGAAACCACCCCTCAAATATTACAATATTTTTTATTTAAAAAACGGTCAAGTTTCCGAAAAAAACGCTTAAACACAATTTTATTTTGTTTTTTTTGCATATTTTAAGCTTTTTTGAAAATGTATACAGGGTGTTTAGAAAAATCTGGTCATTGATTAATCACGATCCTGCTTACAGCGCTTGACGTAAAAAGCTGATTTTTGGAAAACAGATTGACTTTAGGGTGTAGAGGTTCGATAAAAAGGGATTTTTCGAAACTCGAATTCTAAGGGGGTGAAACTATCCCTCAAATATTAAAATATTTTTTATTTAAAAACCGGTAAGTTTTTCGGAAAAACTCTTAAACACGTATATTTTATTTTGTTGTTTTACATATTTTTAGATTTTTTATAAATTTAAAACCATTAAATATTTTATTAAAGAATGTAAACACTTTGAAGTAGTACGTATACTTTATACCAACTTATTACTTGAATATATTTGTTTCAGCAACAAGAACACTAAGAAACCAAGTAAGAACTGAATTCAATATTCCGTATGGGTTCCGAAATCGAGAAAAATACAATATTCTTGGAATCGATCTACCTGATGGTAAATATTTTATATAGATATACATAATTCCTTATCTCAAGTTAAAAATTATATTTAGTCTAGTAATTTACCTAGTAGTTTACTAGTAATACCAGGGTTGGACTGGTCATAATGTGAGTGGCGTCTGCCGACGCGCCAGGCCCCAGGCTTAGGATCTATATTGCAAATAGTAGTTAAAATAATTTATTCTAAATTATACAGGGTCCGGCAATAGCGCGTCGAGCATCTGTAGCTCCTAGAATAAAAAACTTGGGAATTTTGTTTAAGTGCAAACCTAAAGGATGTACTAGGATGTAATTCGGGAAAATATTTTAACTTCTATAGGGTGGCTCAAAAAAGTTTGAATGGATCTGGATGATTTTTTTGAAATGGCACACCCTGTACATTATTACGTATTTGGCTTCCTTTCAGCTCACTTTACATAATTCTAAGATATGAGTATATCTATTTAGTTAATTTCAGAGATATTAAAAAATAAATCAAAAATATATATTTTTCATCCCTTCTTAAAAAAAATATTAAAAATACAAGAACCTGCTCTGAAATCAAAACTATAATAGGTATTTACTTTACATAGTTTGTTCTTACTTCGCTATAAATATGATAATCGTAAATCATACAGGATGTTCAATATTCTACACCAAACTTTCAAAAATATAAAATAATTTTTCTTCATTTTTTTATATGGAACACCCTGTATATTATTTTTTTATTAGATCGAGAATTATAAAATGAACATTTTTTGTATCTAAAGTATTTCAAAATTTTCAATAGTTTTCCGGATATACGGAGTATTATTACATATGGCGCTTTCAACGGTAAAATAGGAGAGAAAAATCATTGGGTGGCTTGGGTATTTAAAAAAACGAAGAAAAATTATTTTATATTTTAGAAAGTTTGGCGTAGAATTTTGAACATCCTGTATGATTTACGATTTTCATATTTATAGCAAAGTAAGTACAGACCATCTAAAGTAAATGTCTAATATAGTTTTAATTTCAGGAGATTTCTTGTATTATTAATATTTTTTTTAAGAAAGACTGAAAAATATATATTTTTTTTATTTATTTATTAATATCTCTGAAATTACCGAAATATATATACTCATGTCTTAAGATTATGTAAAGTGTTCTGAGAGGAAGCCAAAAATGCAATAATATACAGGGTGTTCCGTTTAAAAAAAATCATCCCGATCCACTCACACTTTTTTGAGCCACCCTATAGAAGTTAAAATATTTTCCCGAAATACATCCTAGTACATACTTCAGGTTTGCACTTAAACAAAATTCCTAAGTTTTTATTCTAGGAGCTACAGATGCCCGACGCACTATTGCCGAACCCTGTTTAAGATTCTTGCCTTGAACTGTTGATATAGAAATCTAATTCCACACTGTGTTCGTCATAATGTGGATCAACCTGCTCTCACTACCGGTTTGGTAGCCCTACTCCATCACCAAGTGAGCTTGGGTTGTTTCCACAAAATGACAAATGCAGTGCAGTGTACCTAAGTCTAGTGTTTACCATATAATATAATACACGTCCAATCAAGTTCCTTCCGCTCATTTTAATAATACCGGACATGGGTTCCTACACTCAAATGACTTGTTTTGATGCCCTCTACAACCCCTTTCAGTTCGTCGCACTAAATGTGGGACACCCTGTATAATTCATTATATATATACTGCAAGAAATGTGTTTTCCATTTTATATTTTATTCTTAGGTATAGAGAAAATAGAACAAAGTGACGGTAATATTCTGAAATTATCCCTGAGACTTTTTTTAATTACCAGTATGCTTTTAATAGAGTCGTGGTATTCGATATTTCTTAGTAGAATGTCGAATGCTTAAGGGGGGGAGGGGGGAGGGGTTAATCACCGCGACCTTACAGATCTATTTTGTGTTCCTCTTTTTTGAGTTATAACGGGTTATAACTCATCATACAGTCTCAGGGCTTTAACAAAAGCAAGTACCTGAGAAGGCCACAAAAGCCAGCTCTCCCTCTTCGACATCAGCCGTACCAAAGCTATTACCAAAAATTGTGGTATTTTTCCATTTTCTCCACAGAATCTGCATTTGCCGTTGTTTCTCACCTTCAATATACTAACATACTACTCAATATACTAATATACTGAGGTGTTCGTTGAGGAGGCATTGTCCTGTTAGAAAATCCCGTGACAATCCGAAGACTGTTCTTACTTAAATCAAGGAAATTTTTTGATTTTTCTCGGTCGTAAGTTCTGAGAAACTTTTTCGAGTATCTTAGATCGTTCGAGGATTCCCATTCCAGGTTACGAATGGAGTCTTCCAGATTCTTCAATTCTTCTTTAAGTTGGTTTCCACTTGGAAAGCAGAACGGTTCTGATTCAGTTAGTGGAGTGTTCGTTCTTTTCTAGCTAGATCATTTGCTTTTTCATTGCGGTAGGCGGGCATCCAGATTAGGAGGACTTTATTTTCTTTGCCTAATTTTTTAGCTTCTCTAGGCATTCGTTGACTTCGAATTGATGGTTACTGATCGCTTTTAGTACTGCTTGACTATGGGATAAGATGGTTATTAGTATATAGTTCGTATCTAAAATTAATGGTAAGCATTTTTTAGTAGAGTACCAACCTAGTTTCCCTGTCAAACTATTGCCCAATCAAGAATGTTTAAAGGCATTCTAATTTAGTCATGAACTAATTACAATTAAACAAATGACTCCTTCTACTCGTATTACCAAGAATGAAGATTGGTTATACTCATTGGTTAGACTCATTTCATGAACTAATTATAATTAAACAATTGACTCCTTCTACTCGTATTACCAAGAATGTAGATTGGCTAGACTCATAGAATTTAAGAAATTGGTAACATACCTCCTAATATAAATTATTGAAATTTATTAATTTATATTATTACAAACCTATAGTATCCCATCTACCATTATATATAGGATCCTATATCTCCTACGCGAAGCAAAGGGCTTCAGTGGAAGCTCTCCATCGGGTTCTGTTTTTGGCAGTTGTTTTTGCTTCCTTCCATGTTGACCCTACGTGTTGAAGCTCATCCAGTATGGAACGTCTCCATGTTTGAGCAGGTCGTCCTTGCTTTCTTTTTCCTTGGGGATTCCACTCCAACGCTGATCTCGCTATATTACTATCAGTTTTCCGCAAAGTGTGACCTATCCAACCCCATTTTCTTTTGCGGATTTCAATGCCTACTTCTTGTTGGTTTGTAAGATGGAGCAGGTCGGTGTTACGTATAGTGTCTAGCCAAAAGATTTTAAGTATTTTCCGCAAGCAGCGATTGATAAATACCTGTGGACGGTTGATGGATATTTTTGTCACTCTCCATGTCTCGCAGCCACATAATAAAACCGGTATGACGTTGGAATTGAATATTCTTAATTTTGTTTGTATGGAGAGTTGACGGGAGGTCCAAACTGATTTTAGTTGGCCAAAGGCTCGCTGCGCCTTCCTGATCCTGCTGACAATATCCGCGTCTGCGCCACCGTTTGCTGTTACAATACTTCCCAGGTAAGTAAACTCTGTTACATTCTCGACATATTTGATTCCTACATTGAATGGAGTGTTGTTTTTTATTAATGCGGATTGACTTTGTTTTGTCGATGTTTATGCTTAATCCTACTTTGTCTGCTTCTGTTTTTAGACATCTGAACATCATTTCCATGTCTTTGAAGGATTGCGTTGTGAGACAGATATCATCAGCATAATCAAGATCCGTCAGATGCGATGTCAGAGTCCATTGTACTCCCCTAATGTTTGCTGTGGCTTTAGTCAAAACGCTGTCGAGCACGATATTAAATAAAAGCGACGATAATGTGCAACCCTGCTTTACTCCTGTCCCTAAGTTAAAACTGTCGCTGGTTCTACCGTTGTGCAGCACATTGCATTTTGTGTTTCTGTAGAGTTCCTTGATTATATTAATTAGTTTTTCCGGAACACCATTTTCTTTTAGAGTTTTCCGTACCATCGCATGGGGGATACTGTCAAAAGCTTGGACGAAATCTATGAATAATAAGAATAAAGGTGACCTAAATTCTATTGACTGCTCTATGATAATGCGCAATGTGTTAATATGGTCAATGCACGAGTGGTTCGGTCGGAAACCAGCTTGGTTCTCTCTCAGAGTAGGCTCTATATAGGAGTTTAACCTTAAATGAACTATAGAGGATATTGTCTTGTGAATGGTGTTTAACAAAACAACACCTTACCAGTTGTCACAGTTAGTGGTATCTCCCTTTTTAGGGAGTTTAATAATGAGACCCTGTTTCCATTCATCTGGGATGATGTTAGATACCCAAGCTCGTGTAATTAGAGGATGCAGTATGTCTGCTGCTGTGCTAGGATCTGTTTTGAGGAGGTCTGCAAGGACGCTATCGGGGCCGGCTGCTTTATTGTTCTTAAGTCTTTTAATAGCCTTTTGTATTTCTGTTTTCGTTGGCGTGTCGCAGTTGATAGTCATTTCGATTGTTGGCTTCGGTTCCTCGTTGTCGAAATTTTGTTCACTTATTGGTCCAAGCAGGTTGCTGAAGTGTTCTTTCCATCTGTCAAGCTGTTCTTCAGAGGATGTTAGTGGTCTGCCGTCTTTGCTTTTAATAACTGTATTGAAGTTACTACGTTGTCCACTCAGGTGTTTTGTTATTTTGTACAGTTCCCTCATATTGCGTTGTTCTGCGGCTCTTTGTGCCATCTACCATTACTCCAGGCTAATTTGCTTAGGCTCTTTAAAATCATAGACCGATCCTGAGTTATACCAAAAATTGATAAATGATTTGTTCCGGAATTTTTTTCGAACTCATCAATATTTTGAATATTCGATTTTAGATTGAAAGTTGGGACAGTTTTCTAAAAATATTCATGAGGGACAAAATTCTACATTGTCTATTGTGCGCTGCTTCCTGCCACCGATTTTGCATGCTTATCCCCTTTAAGTTTTTATGGAAAATATCCTTGGTACCTTTTGAGTTGTCCACCCGGTTTACTCTTCCGTTGGCTTATAGGCGACTAATCATCGTGTCATGTCATATCTGACCCAACCATAGGGCCTAACTAATAGAAGATTGCAATTGTCATTTCTCCAAATAAACCATTTTGATTAGTTAAATAGTACCTACCGGTATGAAGTTTTCTATGCCATAAAAACATAGAGGGCGCATAAGATTCTGCAAATTTATTCAGAAACCTGAGAAGATCTGTAATATACAGGGTGACAATTTGAAAACGAACAGTATTTAATATTACCCCTACCGATGATAGTATGAAAATTTGGCGAAACACGTTAATTTACATATCAAGGGGGACAATTTTTGAGGCATTTGTTGTCGTGTTACTTTCAACCCTTTGACTCCCAGGGCACCTACCCCTAAAATTTTAAATGGCAACCCCTATTTCTTTTACCATTTTTGTATTCCTTATAATATTTTCAAAAAAATAATGCAGTTTATGTAGAATTCTATAAGAAACACAAAAATGGTAAAAGAAATAGGGGTTGCTATTTAAAATTTTAGGGGTAGGTGCCCTGGGGGTCAAGGGGTTGAAAGTATCACGACAACAAATGCCTCAAAAATTGTCCTCCTTGATATGTAAATTGACGTGTTTCACCAAATTTTCATACTATCATCGGTAGAGGCATTATTAAATACTGTTCGTTTTCAACTTGTCACCCTGTATGTAAAAAATAGTTTCTACTGAAACTGTAGAAATTAAAATAATACATATTGTAATATGTAGTATTTTATTTTGTAGTATTTTAATACTATTTATTCGTAGATTCCCCTATCATAATTTACGTTCATGGAGGGTACTGGCAAGCTAAAGAAATCACACACACCAATCAAGGTTTTATATCGAAAATTTTTCACAAGCATGGTATTAAAGTAATTACACTCGGGTACGAACTGTGTCCAGATGTCGAAATTAAAGATATTATAATTGAAATTGAAACGGCTTTGAGAAGATGCCTGGATTATGCCAAACTCAATATGTCGAAGTAAGTAACTCCAGTATAAGAGTTTTTTTCTGATAAGATATTTTTCTATACAAGGTGTCCCAGAAATAAGTGCAACTATTTTAACTGGTAGTATAGTTCGACCCCAGAAACAGGCCCATGAGGTTTTTTTGCGAAAAAAAAATTTGAAAATTTGAAATTTTTTGAAAAAAATTTTGGAATTTTTTTTAATTTTTAGTTAAAAAAATAATTTCTTGATAATGTGGCAACATAGGTATTAGATTAAATTTACAAGAAAGAAAATCCAGAAAAGATCCAGTAGTTCTCAAAATTTTAGCAAAAAATCATTTTTTTTTTGGAAATTTTTGAAAGTAAAATAACTCCGTTATTTCGGACTTATTTGAAAAACGGTAAAGATAAATTATGTTTCTTTTATCGAGATCTACCACCTCTTAAAATACTTGTACTTATTTCTGGGACACCCTGTATAAGGAAAAATCAAAAGGAAATAATAAGTGAAACACTCTGTATATTTCAAAATAATTTTAAAGGGTGCACATTGTCTCCCCACATATACCCATAAAATATTTCGGTTCAACATCGTTCCGTTTTCGTATAATCAACCGAGGCGAATGAGGTGCGCCACCTTGTATAATTATTTTAAAATTTGTCAAGCTTTTGAGAAATTTATTCCCTTCATCAGGACAGTTTCATGAGTTAATCATACAGGATATTCAAAATTCTACGCCAAACTCTAAAATATAAAATAATTTTTCTTTGTTTTTTTTTTAATGGAGCACCCTGTATATTATTTTTTTATTAGATAGGCAGTTAAAAATTGGAATTTTTTTGTATTTAAAGTAAGTATTTCAAAATGTTTAATGGTTTTAATGAATTTGTCATATAAATGATCAAAAAAAATTATGTCGTCGCCAAAAAAAAACATGTATTATTATTATTAATTAAACATATTTCTATGCGGCAAATTTCTAATTGGCACCCTGTTAAAAGTATATTCCCCTATTCATAATATACGTGAAATCGTCAAACTGGACATAATAAATGAGAAAATGACTTTTCAATTCTCAAGCTCAATGATTTGATATCACTTTTGAGGGTATGTCCTAAAATGCTTTCCTATTATAGGTATTTTTTTTGTTAGTGGCAACTGAGCAATATGGATATTTTTGTATAGCGATGGTGTACAAAATTGGAACTACTATAGTGCTATCGATAATACTTTCCTTTTTGTGTATCATGACCTTAGACTATAATAACTAATAACAATAACTAATATTTTAACTAAGTACAATTTTTATTTTAGGGGAGTACATCTGGTGGGTCATTCAGTCGGAGCACACTTAGTAGCATGTATGTTCAACAACTTTATCCCTAACTTATCCTACGATGACCAATCGCTGATTAAATCAGTTTTCTTGTTATGTGGAATATACGACTTATCCCCTCTACCCCAAACAGAAATCAACAAACCGCTAAATCTGACTGATAAAGAATCAAAGGCAGTTAGTCCCCAATTTATGACACTATCTAGTCCAGAACATATGAAGTTCTACGTCATTGTGGCTGAGTATGACGCACCACCGTTCAGGGAACAGACAGAAAAGTTTCATAAGAAATTAAAGGAATCTGGTTTTCAATCGACCTATCGACTACTGAAAGGAGATGACCATTTTACTGTTATTGAAAGACTGGTAGATGAAGAATATGATCTGACGCAACTTATTTTAAGCGCAATTGAATAACTATGTATTAATAACGATAAATTATATTAGCGTTAATTGAAAAAATTGGGAAGATACACAACCTAATGGGCGAATTCGTGACAAGGCTGATTTGATTTTCCCTCCTACGTCTCAGGCGCTGTACGGTGGAGCCGCCACTCGTTCTGCGGCCAACGCATATAACACTTATTTTCTCTAATTAGACAAACAAAGGCATATCAAAGACGGTGTGGAACTGAAAGCAACAGTTTTTCCATATTAAAATATGTAATATCTCTAATATGTTTGACGAAAATATCTTTAGATAAAAAATCCGCGTTAATATATTGAAAATTTATTCGTGTTAAACATAGAATAAACAACAAAAATAAAAATTCTTTTGAATAATTTTAAACGTACTGAATATTTTGTATGGTCGAAAAAAAGTCATTTAATTGGCTTGAAAATGACGATTATTGACATTAACTATAATATTTTACATATGAAATAACAGCGATCTTCATTCCAAGCCAACTCTGACGCCGTTCTTTGTTTAATCATATAATATTATATTAAATTGTTTAATGATAGAAAATCCGTATTTTTAACGTCCTGTACCCAAAATCCGTAAATCTACGGACTAATCCGTAGTTCTGGCGTAATTGCGTCTCCGGCAACCACTCACTCTGTCGGCTTAAAGCAGAACTACGGTGCAGTATTCTTTTTCCGCTGCGCTGTAAACGAATATCAGCACTCAGCGGCGCAGATCTAAACTAAATCTCGGACATGTCGACAGTAACGCCATCTGCATCTCGGACACATTTTGGACGATTATCCAAAATCGTCCATAAGGTTGCGTATCTTCTTATTTCTTCAATCAACGATATTAGGCAATTATTCATCGAATCTAATTGTGGGTTGGTCCAACCATATATCTCACCTCAATACTCCAAAACCCTCTACTTTTTACACTGGACGTGCATTTCGCTAATCATATTATGTTAGCATCACCAGCAGATGATTAAAACTAAAAAAACTTTAAGTTTTAATCATATGCTGAAGATGTGAATTTTTATAAATATATTCTTTTGGTCTGTTCTGTTACATATTAAAACCGTTGTTTTTAATTATATCTCGACTATTTTTTATTCGTATTTTAAGTGCTGTAATTTTTATTTTTAATAAAAAGTAACTTTACCAATACTAAGATTTTAGTGACGTTGCTAAACATTATTGATTTGAGGCGAATTTTCAATTTGACTTTGAAAGAAGATTCAAAGACAAATTCAAATTTGAAGACAATATTTTTATAGTCTAAGGCCAGTGGCAAGCCACTACACTACTCAAAACAACTATCGCACATTTCTAAAAAACATACAGTATAACTTCAATAGTCCGGACTCTCTCTAGAACGGACACTCCGGTAATCCGGACACAGTTATTGTTCTGGCATTTTAAATCATTGGCCCCTGAAATCCGGGCACAAAAAATCATACGCGAAATCTCAGAATTTTCCAATCTGGGCAAGCAGAAACGTTTACATTTTGTTTATGAACTAAGTCTACATTTCTGCATTGGATTCTAGAGCGGGTTAAATAAAATAACTCCATTCAAACGAACATATAAGATTCTTACACTCGCCAAAATCTGCAGTGTTTGGCCTGAGCAAAAGGGATAAATAAGGACTTTTATATCAAAATAATTTCAAAGGCCAGGTAGGAATACCATTATCGAATACCATTATCGATGATGTATTGTTTTAAAGGCAAATAAAAACAATTTAGAAGAGAAGAATAATCTAAACTTGAACTATAGTATATCCAATGCGGGAATCCGTGACAGTGAAACTTGTGTGATACTTTAAATTACCTACAGGTAAATTATATTTTCTGCCATTTTTTAGATATTATCTGTCGCAATCTTCCCTGAATCGTTGGACAAACTATACCATTGTACAACTGGCTTATACATCAACGAAATAACTACGCACCTATTTCATCGGAAATTTCACGAACGAAATAGTATATTAAACAACGAGTTTCGAAAACGACGTTTTGTACACGAGTTCGACAGTTTGTTTGTGAACAAGTCGAACGAGTGTACAAAGAAGTTTTCGAACGAGTTTTTTACGCTATTTTTTCTACGATTACAAATTAGCAGCAGACTCACTCAGTTTTTGCCAGTTTTGCGAAATAATTTGCGATAATGATGACACTTTTTTGACGACTGCGTTGCGTTTGGCGTTTCAGCTAAACATTGGAGGTTAAAAATGTTAAAATTGGCACATGTCGTGTGCAAAAATGACACATGTCGTGCGCTAAATCCTTAGCACACAACAGTTTGCAAAACGCCAATTTCAGATCGAGTTTTTCGTGTGTCAAATTGCATTTTCTAGGCTAGTCGTAGAAAAACAGAATTTTTAGCAAGTTATGAATTGCGATAAACTCAAGTTAGGGCACGAAACACGTTTTTTGACGATATGTGGCCAGAAATTTTATTTTTTCCAGTGATGCCGTGATTCCGTTTCAGGAAAAAGTTTAGATCTGTTCTATCTAGAACAGATCTAGATTCTAGGAAAAAGTTTAGATCTGTTCTAGATAGAACAGATCTAAACTTTTTCCTGAAACGGAATCACGGCATCACTGGAAAAAATAAAATTTCTGGCCACATATCACACGTTGCGGCACGGTATAAACAATTAATCGGTCTAAACGTTAGACCGATTAATTGTTTATACCGTGCCGCAACGCAGCCAGGAATCAGGTTTTATGAGAAACTAGTTATAATCTATAACTTAGATTAATAAACGTTATTTTTAACAATGTTTGAGTTGTCTTCATTTTCCGACTCATTTTCTAAAGAAATAAGTAAGCAGGCGAGAATTATCACGCATCAGAATAAATTCCTCGTCAGGGAATGGCGCAAAAGGTATTACATGGCTTTTTACTCGCTAGTAAACAGTACTCTACCCGACTCTACCCCATTCAGCAACTCTCCAATTGAGCTGTTCTCGTCCTAATCTGGTTACTCGATGTTCCGTTGCGAGTCTTGGACCAGTTGCTACTCGTCTTGGTCTTAACTGGTGTTCTCTTAACCTGTTTCTTATTACCTGATCACTTATCCTAAGCTGGTGGGCTCTTGACATTTCATTTTGTAGGTTTCTAGCAATGGTTGTACGATTTCTCAAAGTTGCTAATTGTATAAATCGGCTCTGGGCTGCTGTTGTGGCTCTTGGCCATGACGTTTTGCATAACTGTGAGCTTTTCTGTAGCATTTTAGTACTCTACTAATTGAGGATTGATCAATATTAAGAATTTGTGCAGTTCTAACTTGACTATACCACAATAAACTGAAAGTTGATTGCCGATATGCACAAAATAATTTGTGACTTTCAATGATGAAAGAAATTAAACAATTGCAAACATAACCAAACCCCCTACTGCACTTTTTCTAAATAGCTTTCCTTTAGGGTATGTTGAAGAAGGCATTTTTGCTCTAAAAATTATGAATAAAGAACATGATTCATTTAGAAGTATGTAATAGTTACATAATTCCATAGTTGGAACGAAAGTTCTAGAAATAACTTTCATTCAGAGTAAAGTAATAGTAATTAAAAAAATCACTTCTTTTGGGGATAAATTTTCGAAATTCGCTTGTTTAATACTTAATGATGTCACTTAAGGATTCTTTGGCACAACTTCTAAACCATACAAGTGCGCTCTAGTTGCAAACAACTTACAGCAATTACAAAAAATGTTGAACTCGAATATATCTGGGCACTGGACACACGAGGTTTTGGGCCTTAAGCTGAACATCGACATAACTAAAATCATGTGTACTCCCCCGGAAGACCACAACAATGCTATAAAAATCGGCGAAGAACTATTGGAATATGTAGCGGAATTCATTTACCTCGGTAGTTTGATTTCGGAAAAAGCCAATATCGACTCTGAAATTCAGCACAGGATTAGCAGCGCCTCAAGAGCATTCTGGAAATTAAAAGAAGGGGTTTTCTACAATCATGACTTGAGCACAAAAACGAAATTTGCAGTTTACCGAGCAATAATAATCCCCACCATGTTATATGGAAGGGATACCTGGGTCCCGCGTCGTACCGCCGACACATGAACGCGTTAAACGCGTTCATAACAGGGGCGGCTCGTGGCACTGGAAGATGGTGAAGCACATTAGAAGAGAATTTTTGTTAGTATATATTTAGTAGGTAGCCATTAGTGCGAGGAAATCCAATATCGTCGTAGTTGACAAATATATGAAAAAGAAGTTCTATATAAAAAAGTGCATATCCTAAAAAAATCTTTTCTTTAAAATTAGAATCGCATTACCATTTTTCTGTACAGAATTGGGTTCAGTATAAAATTCAGCATACATCACACTACTGATTTATAGTTCTTCAAACTATATGCAGGGTTGTTCACCACATACGACACGGAGTATTGTAGCTAAACGATGGGATTTTTTTAAAATAAATTTTTAGACACTCTGTATAAGGTAGTATTATTTTTATTATTGCAACACAATAAATGATCATTAAATAAACTTCAGTAAATATTTAGTATTAAAAACTTTGATACCCTTGGAGAAATGAAGCCTTAAAATTTTTACTGCAATTTCACTAAATTGAAAATATTTCAAAAACTGTAAGGTTTAAGTATAATAAATCTTAATCAAATTTACCTTTATTTTAATCGTAGAAACTAAAAATGTAATAATATACAGGGTGTTCCATTTAAAAAAATACAACTTTGATATTTTTTACTTATTTGGGACACTCTGTATCTTGTAAAATTATTTTTAAATTGTACCTCTAATAGTCCTTCATCGAACCCAAAACTTACAATTTGTAAAAATCTCATCGTTTAGCTACAATACTCCGTGTCGTATGTGGTGAACAACCCTGTATATGCGGGATTTCCATAAAAATTCATATTTTAAAAAATTTCATTTTTAAAAAAGTGGTAAAAACCTGGAAGTAACTTATTGATATATTAATGCTTAAGTATGTATATGCGAGGTATGTAGGATAAAAGAAGAAATCTGAGAAAAATTCACATTATTTTATACAGGGATTTTTTTATGGCGCGGCCAACATTGCAATATTATAATGCTATATCTCAATTTTTTGAAATGCAATACACACTGTATATTATTTTTAGTATTTTAGTACCTACAGACTTAAAAGCGCACATTTTTGTATTTAAAATATTTCTAAATTTTTAGCATTTGCGGAAATAGCCTTATGTAATATAATAAAAAAGTATTATACCGTATGATCGAATAAAAACGGCGTCAGCGATGGCAATGAAATGAAGATCGCTGTCATCATTTTGTATGCAAATTTATATGGGAAATGTCATCGATTGTCATTTCATAGCCATCGTTGACGCCGGTTTTATTCGATCATACGGTACTTATTACATAGGGCTATTTCAACAGTAAATTTTTATCAAAGCGACCACAGGATATTTTATCTTATATTTTACTCTGTGTGGTAAAATTTTGTTTTCTACCCATCCTATAAAAAATAAAACAAAATGAAATCTGTAACAGGTCGCTTTACTTATTTGACTATACACAATTTATCTAGAAAAACTTCACCTGGGGTAGTCCTGATGATGCATGGTCCCTCTAAATCATCATGTCTATCAACAAGTCACTGCCCACTTTTTAGGTATTTACTTAATAGGTAATAATCAGTAAGAAAAGTAATTAAACATGCAATTCACATTAAAAAACGTAGATATTAATCAATTAGAGACAAAACAGTGCAATAACCGATAAAGTTAATTCAAACTAAGCCAAATTCCCAAATAATGCAATTCTGCATTTTCAGCCTGTCGCACAGTGCTTCGTCCCATGGACAAAAATCGAAAAAAAAGTTAAAATTTACTAATACCTGAACATGTAATTTTATACTTATAGCAATGTTCAACCATCCTGTATATTATTTTTCATAAACAGCGTTTTTTGTTAGCAAAATATTTTCACTAAAAATAAATTTTACGATCATTATGATACTTTTCAGATGGAGTAAAATTGATAAGCAACGCCGATCTGGATAATACTTGGCTTGATCATAAGGACAAGAACTCAAAATTATTTATATTTCAAAAAATGCGTTCTTTATTAGATATTGATTAACCTTCCAGTCAAATGAGACACCACTTGTGCATGAAAAAGCCCACTATGTTGGAGCGAAAAGTCGCATAAAAAAAGTTCCATCTTTCAATTTATTATAAAACCTCATGCCCAAGAAAAGGAAAAAATAATATATGGATGTGGTCTATTAAAGAGGTAACTATTAACATCCGAACCCCTCATACCAACAAAAAGAACAGTGACAACGCGAAAAAGTAACATATTAGAAAATGATGTACAGAAATATCTTATATGTGAGGATACTTCATCTACCTGTGATTTAGATACTATAAATTTGGAAGATTCTGTCAGCAGTGATTCTTCTGAATCAGAGTAGTTGCGATCTATGCATTTTGTTGTGTGAGGTTCAAGTTAACGTCTCCTTTCTGCTGCAATGGCTAAACTGGACGGGACCTACTTTGTTTACGCGGAATCCGAACCGCGGTCCTCGGCCATATCATAGTCAATGGCCTACCGACTTAGGAACTGTCTAAATTAACTCTTACTCACGAGATATCCGATCTCAACCGGCCTCGAACCGGCGTGAATGAGCAGTGTGTATCAATAGATTTTACACTTTTCCCTTGGACAACAGCACGATGCAAAGTTTCGAACCGGTCACCCGTCCATCAACTAGCATCGCCTTACGTCGCTTAACTTCGGTGTTCTAATGGGAACCGGTGTTTCGACGTAGCTGGGCCGTTGCCCGCATTTTGTTGAGTTAAAGTAAATTTATAGTATCTTAAGGGTTTTTTAATTAAATATAACATTAATTTTTCTTTTTCATTAAAGAAAATCATTTTTATCTTAAATTAGGCTTATATTGTAGGAATCATGTTCTAATGTTATTTCAGTTCTTTTTTATCCCAGGAATTTATTTAATACTTACACCGTTTTCATACTATAAATTATTATTTCCTTAGATGGAACACAACTCCAACATTTTTATTATTTATAAGATTTTTTTCATAAACGTGGGACTAAGAACATCATCATTTAGTACAATGAGAATACTCATCATTTGTGTCAAATAAATCTAGTTTGAATAAAATGCCTACAATAAAAGAGAAGTTTTGCATTTTTGTCCTCTAGAGCCATATGTTCGAAGCACTGTGTGTCGCCTAAAATCTCTCGGGCTGATCGGGAACTGATCGGGGAGTGATACATATTTTTAACGAACAAGGTTTTAAGATTTAAATTTACATTTGAGGCCCGCCTCAATACGGTCATTTTACGCGCTAACTGCTCCATATATAGGTATCCCGATCGGTATATTTCTCTTCATCTAAAGGTTTTGCCTATGTTTTTTCTTTTCATTCTACAGAGTTAAGATTCCAATGAACGCCGTCTCTATATACCACAATACGCTAGACAAGGAAAGGCGTGAGGCAAACCTCTGCACATATACTTCTTAAAGAACAAATGAGATGGAGTTACATCGTCGAGTTTGTCGCATAAAGGAAGCGCGTTTAAAGGAATGCCATAGACGTAATTTATTGTAGAATGACCGATAAAAAATAAAATAATTATTATTGATGCAAATAGGGAAAAAAATATAAAATTGTGATTAATTTTTCAAATTTATTGGTGAGGATATATCTCATAGGACAAGCCGCCCCTAGTTCATAAAATAATATAAAGTTGCAACAGAAATACCTTAGATAACTCTTAAGAATCAAATGGTTCCACCATGTCTCAAACGTATCGGACCTTGAAAAATCTAGCTGCGAGAGCATTGAAGTCATAATTACAAAAACCCGCTTTAGATGGGCTGGTCACGTATGCAGAATGCAAGAAAACCGCATACCAAAATCAGCTTTACCGTAAGCTTGTCGACGGTAAGAGGAAACCGGGTGGATAACTCTAAAAGGTACACGACAACTTAAATGGGATTAACATATAGAATTAACATAAACAAAGGAAGCAGCAGCGTACATAGAACGCAATGGAGAAGAATTGAAAACAACGAGTATTGGCAGTATGTATCTAAATCTCTTATAATATCTTATAATGTATGTAGACCATTGTAGACCGTACTAACGTTTATCCCTAATTTCAACAAAAGGTCTATAGTAGCAAAAGCTGTTCCAACTCTAGTTACCATATTTCTAAATATAACTTTTAGAATTCAAATTCTTAAATATTAGATTTAGCTTAGAACTGTAGTCCTGTTATTTCCTAAGATTAAAATGAATGTAGTATAATATAAATTTGTTTATTATTACCCGGCAAATATTGTATGTACGAAAAGTAATGTTATTTGTTAGATTAGATATAAAATGAGACCCGTCACTGACGTAATTTAATATTCACGCGTTGTACTGCTTCCTTATTATCAGTGGGCGATTCTTTTCGAATCTGATTTTTTATGTCCTGTACTATTTACTCATCATTTTCTTTTTTATGTCCTGTACTATGTACTGATCGTACATAATTAATATATTTATAAAAAAAATGCTATTAATGTTTAACCACACATTATTTCATAATCTAAAAAAATAGATGGCTGGAAATAGTTGGTTATTCTGTTTTTGTTTGTTTGATTGGTAATAAATTTAAAAAATTCAAATATTTATTGATTGTGATCGCCTAATCACCTAGTCAAAATAAACCAAAATGTCTTTAATTAATGTTCGGTGCCAAAATTTAAATACTATGATTAATTTTTAAAAAACGAGATGAGACATAAATGGAATAATCAAAATGGACCTTTATATGGGCTTATTATACGAGTAATCTTCCATATTAAACTTAGACTCACCCTGATGAAGATGTAAACAAAACGTCGGCGTCGTATCCAACTTTGCAAGGTGGGAACGTGTGCACCGTCGCTCACATAGCCTACCTACCAAATTTGATCGCGATCGGACGATATCAACTTCCGACATTTCTTACGTCAAAACTGTCAGAGTATCACGTGTTATACACGGTCAAGTTGGTCTTGGTCCAATCTATGGACAGACCAAATTTCATTTGAATCGGATTTGAATAGATTTTTTCGCCAGCGATAATGGAGTTGCTCACAGTGCGCGAAACGTCGTAAAAATATCATGAAAATATGGGGCTCATAACACCCTACCTCACATAGGGCCCGAATTATGACGCTCCAAAGACGCATCTCAACTTCCTCATTGGCACTTTTTCTATCGTTACCACTTTTCGTTACCACTAGCTCGTGTGTCACGGCTGTCTGGCTAACTCGTTTGTCACGGCTTTGAATTTTTACTCCCAGCGCGCATATAAAGCGACTCACTTCAAAATATATATCATAAATTAACTTTTAGAGTAGAATCGCCCATAATAGTGTTTCGTCTCGCTATGCCGTCTAACTTTATGATGTAATTTAAATCAACTGCGACCCGTCTAAATACAGAACATACTAAACATTACTGAATTTATTTTTTTAAAGTAACAATTAGTTAATTAGAAATGCCCTGTCAATCCAGTGTTGCAAATATTAAGTGTAAAAAGTGAAATAATGAGTAATGACGAAGATTACGAATCTTTGTACAGCCCTAGCCATTGGTCAAAGAGACTTGATAAGGACGTCATCGTGAAAAATCATATTGAATTTATATCATATTGTAAGTATTTATGTAAAATAAATTAATTAAAAAATATTAAATATTTACGCTTATCATACACATACTAATCTACTCAGTAAAAAAAAACTTAAAAATAATATTTTGACTGGTTCATATTAAACCGGTTGACACAGTACAAGTACCGGGTGTCCCACTAAGAATAGCTCTCGGCTGTATCTCGGAAAGTATTAGCCGTAGGGGCTGCGGAAAAAAATATTTGTTGCTAAAGAGGCTATGAGAAATTGCTGGAAATTATTTTCAAGTTTGTAGAACGACCGCTAGGGGGCGCAACTGGAACAAAAAATAAGAGAATAGAGTTTTTACACAATTTTGGCCAGATAAAGTGTACTATAAGTAATAGCTTCTTAATCTTCAGTAAATTTTGAATATTTTTTGTTAGAGCCATTTTCCCCTATCTACCAAAATAAAGTGGTGGGGGAAGGTTAGATCTGTTTTTATTTAAACATTAATAACTCTGGACTGGATGATCGGAATCCAACAAGTGAGGACTCGTTTAAAAGAGCGTTTCTTACTCTATATTATACCATATAAACAGTAATAATAAGCTTTTGAACGTAGACGCTAGGGGGCGTTGTCTTACAATTTAACAAACATTGCGCGTTTTTTCAAAAAAAATAAATGCAATAGTATATGTAATTTTAGCTGATCGAAAAGAGTAGAAAAAGCTTAAAAAGTCAGCGAAAATCGCATCTTGATATCATTATAATAAATACCAAAAAATAAGCCTTTAATTACCTTATTTTTACAACACGGTATCAGTAGTAGGGTGGTGCGTCGGTATAGGGGATTTTTTTTTGGAAATTGAAAACCCTTGTATGCGGGAAAGTTGTGTTTTAGTAAAATGATAATGCAGATTTTTTTTCACATTTTTATTCCACCCCCTTCCACCCCCCAACAGGTCCAAAATTTATTAAAAAAATTCCAAAATTGAAAACGCCTGTACGCGGGGAAGGTGTGTTTCAGTAAGACGATAATGCAGTTTTTTTTTAGATTTTTATTCCACCCTCTTCCACCCCCACCCCTCCCAACAGGTCCAAAATTTATTATAACAAAAAAAATCGAAAATTAAAAACGCCTGTTAAGTTTTGGTGAGAGGATGATGCAGTTTTTTTTATTTGTTTCATTTTATCAATGTTAACAAGCTTTCTTTATGAAGAAGTGATAGATCCAATCAATTAATCAATTCTCCCCACTCCTTGAGTTGAATTAGGTCAAGAAAAATCCACTATAGTTTCAAACACTTTTATTTACTCGCAAAAGTTATATTAGTTTGAAATTGATTAAAAAGACGTAAAAATATTATTAATAACTAAAATCTTTTTTGGTTTCGAACTTTGGCATTTTTGCTCTGGAGTCTAAAGTGTTTCTAATAATTCATCTAAAGTGTTTCTAATAATCCATCTCTTCTTTTTTTGTCACCAACCGAGCTGGATGCTTGAGTGACGAGTTTAACTGCTCTCTCAACTGCTTGTGTGTGACAAGGCAAACTCCTGACGTAGGAAATTGGAGAAGAATCGGGATTTTCCACAATTTGCTTCAAGTGATCTTCAGATAGACCTCTAGTAATAGGAGGTTCGTGTATACCACGAATATTGTATACCAGAATATTGTATACCAATATTCTGCCAATCTATCAACTCACTATACTCCTTGCATTCAAAGTTGAACTGGGGAATAATAAAACTGCGAACGCCGTTACTATGGATTGAATTATCTTCATTATTGCGTACTTTTAAGATTCTATGGTAGGCAAGTTTTCTAATATATATTCTTTCATCCCAAAGCATTGCTAGCAATATGTTCTCAGAGTGTCCGAAGTAACCATTTCTCTCTGACAGATTGGACTATATTTTTAAGATCCTCTGGTAAGTAATTACATAATCTGATGGTTTCAGAAATATGCTTGGGTCCATAAATGCATGAAGAATGAAGTTTGATTTTGAACCACATCGGTGCATAAACTTTCATTATGAACGTTGCTAATGTAACTAAACTAGTAGACGGGTCTTTTCAGTAGAAGCATACAGTCTTAGAATTCTGTTACTCGTAGTCAACCACCTGGAGTGATTAAGATGTCCAGGGTCGCACCAAAGTGCGAGTGCGAGAGTGGTACTTGGACGGAAAGCATGGCAAACCATGCTTTCCGTCCAAGTACCACTCATGATTACTCGAGATATGTCGTACATATACTTCTGATCCGAACTTAGATCGCTAAGGCATATCTGGAATGGAAGATTCAATTCTTGTAAAGGTAACAAAGGGAAGTTTTTCACACTTGGCCAATGCTTTTCCAATAGGTAATGGGTCCTTGAAAGCCTCGAGGGCCAGTTGTGGTCCCATCGAAATGCTGTACTAAATGCCTTAAAGGGAGTTCATTGGCATGGAACTGGCAGACAATTCATTGTAGTGGCCTTTGTAAGCTATTCTCTAACAGAGTAAGTAGTAGTAACTACAATTTCTAATATTTTCAAAACTTTTACTTCTGACGTATTTTAATTTTTCAAAAAAAAAATTTTCAAGAAAGATGCCTGACTGTTGTAGGTTCGATTGATGAAGATAATACATTTTTCCTAATGAAATAAAACGAATTGGTTTCATTATCCACCTCCCCGGCGGCCTTTTGTCCTTCATACATTATTTAACCTTGGGGAGGTGGAAAATGAAGTCCAATATTTTTTTTTTATAAGAGTAAAATACTTGGGTCTATCATAGACAAGTTTTCCGCACCCAGGAGTTTTGTTTTTTCTAAATTTCAAATGTCGCACCACCCTAATCAGTAGCCCTCTTGATTATGCCCATTCTAACAAAAAATAAGATAGAAATAGTTAGTTTATTTTAAAATCGATGAAAAACCAGAATACCATAAGACCAGAGGTATTAATATCTAATCATTAAGATATTAATAACAGTGGACAAAAAACGATGATTCAGTGAAGTCATGGTAGGCTTTGGAAAAAAGTTGCTTTTGACGTAATAGTATAAACGTCAAATTGTTATTAGATCAACATTTTGATAGTCTTAGCATCGTTTTTTATTTTTTGATTGCTTTTTCAAAATGCCAACAAATTCAACTTCTTCAAATAATAAAAGCAATAAAAACGCTGCTAAGGCTTTCAAAATGTTGATCTAATAACAATTTGACGTTTATACTATTACGCCAAAAGCAACTTTTTTCCAAAGCCTACCATGACTTCACTGAATCATCGTTTCTTGTTCACTGTTATTAATATCTTAATTATTAGATATTAATACATCTGGTATTTCATCGATTTTAAAATAAACTAACTGTTTTTATCTTATTTTTTGTTAGAATGGGCATAATCAAGAGGGCTACTGTAAAAATAAGGTATTAAGGGTATTAAGGGCTTATTTTTTGGTATGTATTATAATTTTGCTAATATCTTCGGTTTGAAAGAAGATATCAAGATGCGGTTTTGCTGACTTTTTAAGCTTTTTCTACTCTTTCCAATCAGCTAAAATTACGTATACATTTAATTTTTTTGAGAAAACGCGGAATGTTTGTTAAATTGTAAGACAACTGTAGTAAACAATTGTGGACGTGTGTAAGACAATTGTAGACAAAGTCTATGTTCAAAAGCTTATTATTATTGTTTATATGGCATAATGTAGTAAGAAACGCTCTTTTAAACGAGTCCTCGCTTGTTGGATTCCGATCATCCAGTCCAGAGTTATTAATGTTTAAATAAAAATAGATCTAACCTTCCCCCACCACATTATTTTGGTAGATAGAGGAAAATGGCTCTAACAAAAAATATTCAAAATTTACTGAAGATTATGAAGCTATTACTTATAGTACACCTTATCTAGACAAAATTGTGTAAAAACTCCATTTTCTTATTTTTTGTTGCAGTTGCGCTCCCTGTTTTCCGCAGCCCCTACTGCTAATACTTTCCGAGATACAGCCGAGAGCTATTCTTAGTGGGACACCCGGTACACTTCGAGCAAGTACACTTTAGATTAGATTCCTAGAGGTGGCTATCGGTCCAATCCACTGCGACCTTCTTAGATCTATTGTGGTCCTCTTCTGATCCTTAGGTTATATTCTCCAGTCCTATCCTTTTCACAAAGTCTAGAAACTTTGAGGCAGAACTCTCCATGTAGCTCCCTAGCAATGGCCTATCATTGCCTATTACAGAGAACCGGATATTTGCCAGGCTGTCGCACCACCGACATAGAATGTGTTCTGTCGTTTCCTGTTCAGATTGGCAGAACCTGCACATGGCTTCGTCCGTAAACCCAATTAGTTTTAGATGCATACAGTGTCGTATTTCCCATTACGCACAATACGCCCAGGCGTCAAGCGGCAAAATTTTAGGGGCGGCAAATTTTCAGAAAAAAATACGATAAATTGCGGCAAAAAAACAGAAGATATAACCCACAAAATTCTGAATGTTGATGAATTTAGAAGTATGCTTTGGAATTAAATAAAACAAGATCTTTTTGCAAAATACTACTTATATTCTAACTTAAAGATACTAATACAATTGGCTGGCTGTGACAGTCTCGACTATATAAGGTTAGATACAATGTAACTGGGATACTTAAATTTTCATCTGCTTCGGTTGGTTGGGAGAAAGGCCTCACCCTCTTCGCTGCACTCGTCCGCTGGTGGGTAGCGTCCGCTGGTAACTGTCCGGCTACGTTGGAGAGCTCGTGAGACTCCACCAGTCTCAGTGCGTGAGCTACTTATGGGGAGGGTCAATTCTCGTATCTTCCTAGAAGATAATACACAGCAGTATGCTATTCCAGACAATGGTTAAGTACCCAGTTATGTGGTAGTGTTCTACAGTACCAAGTCGACTGTCTGTGGTTGCCAATATAATGTACAGGGTGGGTCAAATTCGACGCTTTTAAATGGAAACACCCTTTTCTATAGGAGATAGACGAAAACTAATATCGGTGTCTGGAGCTCAATTTTTATTAAAAACATGATGGTGAAAACCGCACATCAATATCTG